TCTGGAAAAATGTTATGGAACTCCTCTTAAATATAGTTCATATGAGCCTCATATCTATAAACATACTCAATTAGACATGATCATATTAGAAAGAAATGGATACATCATGAAAGAACTATTTTATACACATATGTTAAGATATGCATAGCCTTTGAGCAAGATTCCCTAGAATATTTCACTATTGAAGTATTCTAAAGGTGTGAGGGATATTTTGGGAGAGGGCCCTTCACCCCCATTTTCTAAGTCAAAAAATTCACATAAAAGAGATAAATTTCAGAGCATGAAAGAGTGTTATCTCCATTGTTGAGAGGCTCCCCTCTCAACCTCTAGCAACTCCACTGAGGAGGATTAATTAACCAATCCTCCCCTTTATTCTTTGGTTTTTCTTTCTTGGGTTTTGGGGTGAATTCATGAGAGATTTACATGGTGGTAATATGCATACACTGAAAAAATGTTAAAAACAAATATGAATGCACCCAACTATAAGATTCTAAGCACCATACTTGCATTTTGAGGAGTTCTTGAATTTTCTTTCTTTCTAAGTTAAGAACAATTGTTTTTTCCTCTTCATGTTTTGGTTACTAATTTATTTGGGAAATTAAGTTGTTGGGTTTGTAAATCTTGTTGAGAGCTTCATTCTAGCATTAAGAAGTTTTTAATTCCATGTTCAAAATGCAGCATGCAAATAAAGTTTTCTTCACGGTGAGCGCAATAATCATTTCAAAAGCTTAGTACTCAATAGATCTTCCACCATTTTGATATTTAGCTCATCAAATAGATTTACTCACAAGCTTTCTCTAGAGTCCTTGCATGTGAGTTTTGCTTTGGGATCGAGTGGTTTATAACATTTTTCTATTATGCTTTTTTATTTAGAGTGTGAGTGAAGTTTTGGGTGTTCTTGCATGAATCTGAGTAGTGCAAATGAATTTTCTTTACATAGTTGGATAGATTTTGGATATAACTTCCAAAGAAGCCAAAAAATAAGATTTTAAGAGCTAAAAACCATGAGATTTTCATGTTTTTCATTCAAATATGTATTTATTAGTTTTAGTGAGGGTTTTGATTATGTTTGAGTGACATTTTTAGGTTTATCTTTTCTACAAGATTGTTGTGCATATTTGTAGATTTCTAATGAATCTAGTCTTATGATTTTTTGAGCTTGCTATGAGAAACTTGAGCATTTTTGTTTTAAGCTTTATTTCATTTCATAAGTGGGAGGAATTCTTCAAAGTTTGACAGATTTTTCTTGATATTTTACCCTTTATATCATCTCATGGATTTTTTTGTTGCCCTAGAGTGTGTCTAACTATTTCATCTCTCATATTTAGTTATCTCCCTTGATTGAGAGACTTTTATTTGAGTGGAGAGAAGATTTTACATATAGTGAATGCATAAGAGGCTAGAGAGTGTTATAAAGTGTAATTTCAGAATCTTTATGTGACTAGCAAGCACAAAACCCTCTAGTTTGAGTTCTTTAAACTCGAGACCAACATCACAGGAAGTACCTAGTTTCAACATTCGATGCATCTCAAGAGTTTGATACCCATTTGTACATGCTATTCAAGTGTTGTTGTCTGAGCTCCACTTACACACCCATGAATCAAAGGAAGGTTCTCAAGGCTTAGACATGAGTTTGACTACCAAATAGCATTGTCAATAAACAAATTTTCATTTCTACAATAAATTGTAGAAAGGAGAGTGACCAAAACATTGCACCAATTGCAATAACTATCCACTTTCTTTATAGGGCAATGGACCTCCTAGAGTTCTATCTCGGATTAAATATTTTAGCTCATGATCACATTGACTAGTTTTGAGCTTACTTGAGGTACAACCAAATCACAAAAGATGCTGTATCCTAGAAATTGTTCCTAAGATCCTTGAGGGAAAGAGTAGTAGATTGGGCATCTTCCTTGCTTCCAGAAGAGTGCAGTCACTATCTATAATAATCGACAAGTTCCTCAAGCAATTTGGAGTGGAGAAAATTGACCAACAACTCTACATGGAGTTGTTTTCATTCTAGCAATGCCCACAAGAAAGTATCAATGACTACACTATCTAATTCAAGAAGCATTAGTGTGTGTAATTACTATAGAGCCTCACAAGAAATGAGAAGCCTGTGGTGTTAGCATTCGTCCAAGGACTCAAGCTTGGAGTACAACACAAAGTCCTCAAGTAGCAATGTGAAACTTGCAAAGTGGCATTTGACCATGCCCTAGAGGTGGAGAAGGACATCTTCTTTAAGCTTTGCATGCACCATAATGTCCATTCTCAGCCAAGCTTCCAAGCCTAGATATGTGCTATTGCTCAACTAGCATATGTCATCAAGGACAAGATGCCTGTAGTGATTGAGTCAACACTGAGGAAGCTCAAGGAGTACTAGGCACATGTGCAATAGCAAGTCCAACAGCAAGAGAAGCTTGTGGAGGAGTTGCAAGGACTCAAGATACAGGCTGAGACTTGATGGTATCACTGGTGCTATAAGGAATGCAAAGCTAATATACATAATATTACAAGGTAAGTCTTCATACCCTAACCTAGTGGTATTGTTAGTGAACACAATTATGGACGGAAAGGGATTTAGTGAGGACTGAAAAAAGGGATATTGAGGAAGGGTATTCCCTATATCTCCAACCATCTTAAGGTTGCTAAGGTATGGTGATGGGATGAACACTCATGGATAGATGGTGTAGTCCCTCTCAAAGTTGTAGCTGTGTAGTATATGAGATAAACATCACCAAAACTTACAAGTGAAAGCTTTATAGAATATTCATGGAATAATTTAATTGTAATGCTACAAAAGTGAAGCATTGGGATTTTAGTGCAAAATGCAAAAAAAAAAGGTAATTGTAACATTAGCTTACCTTAATGTTAATTTCTAGTGTGAGCAAGTTACAATTAAATTTAGAGTTTATAAAATCTAATATAAGGTGGTGTGAACAAACTACCATTAAATTTACTAATTTGGTGCGAACCCCTTAACCTAAATTAACATAACCTACACTAAGTATTTTATTTATTCATTTCAATAAACATGCCTACCTATATCTCCCAGCTTCCCATGCCAAGGATTCTACTGATAGCTCTTTCTGCTCTGGCTTACCTGATGTCTCCAGCTTGCCATACTTCTCAAGCATTATGGAGAGCCAACGACTAGATGAATGTAGCACGCTTGCTGGAGTCTGTGAATGTATGGAAACGTGAGCTTCTGAATGACTTTACATGGCTTGGAATTCTCTGGTGCTCCAGCAGAAACAAAATCTTCAGGCCTCATGTGCAATAAACTTGTTCCTGCCTCAAACCTGCAGTCACTGTTATCTTCAAAATAACTTACCACATGCAGGACAATGTCTACTGTCTTAATGCATCTGAAATACAAGGTGAGCACTACAGCAAAAAACATGATAACAGAAACTTACAAGTTAGAGGCAGACAACAAAGAACCGGGAGATCCAGAAAAAGTCAGGGACGCTCTGCGCCGTCGGTCACAACCATCTCATGTGACATCAAGACGCTCGGAAAAAAACGCTCGATAATGAGACGTCGAATTGTACTGCTGCCAGGAATTTACGTGCCTCTGCAACGGTGAGAGGCGCTAAGCACCCTTGTCTATAAAATCCCATTCCTTTCCATCATGTTGAACTTGGCTATATGTGGAGACAACGAGCTCCCTCAAGCGCTCTAGAAGCTGATCTGCTAGATGATCATTCAGACCGAGCTCGTGGTTGATGGACCCCAACATTTACAGCGTGTGTCACCCTACATCCGAAGATCATCAGCTTGTAACTTAGATGAAAATACCTGGGCTCTGGAAGGTAGAGAGACAAAGTAATCTCGCTCCCGGTACTACTAATGGCAATAAGATCGAAGAACTTTGGAATTCTGCCAAGTGAACATAGTTCAGCAACATAACGAGCAAGATGATCACACTTACCCGCCCCTGTTGGAAAAATACATTAGAGCAAGATAAGACAGTGTTATTACGTTTTAACTGTTGATCGAATATTTTTTTCTGAAGTTGTCTTTTCCTGCAACTTTGATAGCATCTGAAGAACTTTCATACGGTAAGTAAAAGAAATGACAAGCAATTTTCCCACCTAAGAGCAGGCCTGCAGGAGCTCTGGCAGGTTCAAGAGGTCGAGCGTTGATACTTTCGTGATCCCCGAAAGCACGCTTCTCCCAGTCTAACACTGCAACACCATATGAGAGATATCTTCGATGGAGGCAAGGAAACCCAGACCCAGGCAATGCATCACATTCTCCAGTCTGTTAGATTAGCAGCTTCCAGGCGATCGCCGAAGGAGACGAGACAGTGCACCTGTTCTGTGAACACGCGAAGAGGCGCTGCAAGCCTGCACTTCGCAAACATTCCCGTAGAGGCATCTGGAGAGGTAGAGCAAAGCCACTAAAGAATCCACAACAGGACGCCAAAAAGGAAGTTGCTCTTCGCATAGGTCACCAGCGCCTGTGCCTGCTCCAAATCTTCAGCTGCGACATCGTGAGGCAAGTCTGCCCTTGAAACATGAACAGCTGCCCGCACCAGATCCATTCGGGCCATTAAATCTTAAACCTCAAGTTTTTTTAAATGCTATTATTCTTGCAACGAGTTCAGCAAACTAATAGCTCACAAGATTATCAAAACAGCGATAGGTAATGAAAGGAATAAAGAAGTATAAGATTATATAGTGATGAACGTTAGATTTAGTTCACTTGATCGAAATCGTACATACTAAATGACAACGATCTTTGATACGTTTCATTGCTTGTTTGTGATTCATCCCAGGTTTTAATAGTGGAAAAGCAAACTTACGCACTGTTTCCTGGAAGTGAGAATGCTATAAAAAGTCCAAACTTTCACGTTGGTGGACTCTAATTCAAATCGCTTCACTTATAACTTCCACTCGCAAGCAATCCCATTCATCCTCGAGTAATGTGACAGAGTGTCTTGATTCCAAATTGGAGCAATATTCATTCAAATGTTTCCCAAAGAATGTAGGGTTTTAAGCGATAAGTGGAACTCTAGGGTTTGGCCATGGCAGGCGCCCAAGGCGTGGCGCCTCGGCCTCCAGATGCGCTGCAGCGCCTTCTATCCGAGCTACGTTTCAAGACAGCGTCGATCAAGGTGAGCGCGCATTCGAAAGCTTCTCAATCCGATCCTATCGTTCTCCAAATCCCAGGATGGAGCTGCCGCTGCAGCCCTGCGCAAGCACGTTCAGGAGGAGGCGCGCGACCTCTCTGCCGAGGGCCTGACGAAATTCCTAGATATTCTGTACGATCGCATCAACTGCTTGATCGAGAGCGCCGATGTAAGTGACAATCTGGGCGCATTGCGAGCAATCGACGTGCTCATCGATGTGGAGCTCGGGGAGAGCGCAACCAAGACGATGAAGTTTGCGAATTGCGTTAAGCGAGTGCTCGAAGAGAAGCAAGATCCGGACGTTCTCGTGCTTGCTAGTGAAGTTCTTGGACATATTGTGAGCACGGGTCCTCAAACAGCTGACATTGTTGAGTCTCAGGTATGTAAGATTTTCCACAGTCCCAGAGAAATCAACCATTATCTTGCAGGTGTCATGCGCATTGAAATGGCTGAGAGGAGAATCTCGACGCTTTGCGGCAGTTCTAATTCTAAAGGTGCGTGTAGTTCACCTAGCTTGTGCTCATGCCAATCTTCCTTTTTATCTGTAGGAGATGGCAGATCAAGCGCCTACTGTGTTTAACGTTCATGTTCCTGAATTTGTCGACGCTATTTGGATTGCCTTGCGTGATCCTAGGCAAGCTATTCGTGAACATGCTGTAGAAGCTCTTCGGGCATGTCTGACGGTGATAGTAACACGGGAAACAAGATGGAGAGTGCGATGGTGTGTATACTCCTCAGTTTTAATGTTACGACAATCTCATGTTTTGCAGGTACTATCGAATGTTTGAGGCTACGCAAGATGGCCTAGGGAAAAATGCTACTGTCGAAAGTATCCACGGGTCGCTGCTTGCTGTTGGAGAGCTTTTAAGGTACTGCAAGCTCTTGATAGGCTTTGTTCTCATAAGATCTTGCGAAGGAACACGGGAGAATTCATGATGTCTCGCTACAAGGAGGTGTTAGACATTGCGTTCAAGTTTCGAGATCACAGGGACCGTTTAGTGCGCAGGAGCATCACATCATTGCTGCCACGCATTGCGCATTTTCTACGGGATAGATTTGTGACTTCCTACTTCAATGTAAGTGCCACTATTACTTTCCGCTGTAGTGCCTAATCGTTGCTGATACAGACGTCCATGGATCATCTTGTAGCTGTTATGCGCAATCCAAGCGAACGTTCTACTGGGTTTGCTGCGCTGGGAGAGATGGCAGGTGCAGTTGGATGCGCTCTTGGCGAATATCTGCCGGCGATTATGAATTTTATACGTGATGCAGTACTTTATTTCAGTTCAGTTGGTTTTTATATTCTCATTCTATACTTCTTTGTTTGCCAGCTACAACCACGTCGCGGAAAACCGTCCATGGAAGCTATTGCTTGCGTTGGGAACCTGACTGAAGCTCTTGGCCCGCTTATGGAAGAGCACGTTCGCAGTACGCTGGATATTATGTTCGATACCGGCCTTACTCCAACGCTGGAGAAGGCCTTGAATCAGATAGTGACAAGGTGGCATTTGTTATTTGAAGCGAAACTGAATGCTGACGATTTTTCTACAGCTTGCCGTCCCTTTTACCTCCAATTCAGGAGCGCTTACTGGATTTCATTTCCTTGGTTTTGTGCAAAGCGCCATATTTTTCGCAAAGAAAAAGTCTTCTTGTTCGACTGCCACAGAAGGCGGTGGGGCTTCCTTCTTCAGAAATTCAAGGGCCCGCACTGGTGCAGCTCGCGCTTAAAATTTTGACCAATTTTAATTTCAAGGTACTTGCCATACAGTATGTCACGATAATCTTAGTGATTTATGCAGGGGCATGATTTACTTGAGTTCGCGCGAGAAGCAGTTGTTATGCACCTCGAAGATGATGATGCTGGTGTCCGACGTCACGCTGCTAGATGCTGCTGTCGGCTTGTTGAGCATTCGTATCAAACTGCTATAACTGGCAGATCAGCTTCCAGACTCACTTCTGGTCGTCCTTTAACTTTTCGAAAGCATCGGATTCTCATCGAAGAGGTACGTTTTGTATATTCTCTTTGACTATTCATGCTTACGGGTCATGCTCACAGATTCTGGAAAAACTTCTAGTTGCTGCTGTTTCTGATACGGATGCTTCCGTCAGAGAAGATGTTTTTGTTTCGCTTGGAACGAACGGGAGCTTCTACGATTTTCTTGCTCAGGCTGACTGTTTGAAAGCAATTTTTATAGCGTTCAACGACCAGGTAATAGCTAGGTTGGGGGGTATGGATGGCTTCTAATCTTCTTGCCTTTAGTCGTTTGAAGTCAGAAAACTATCCATTGTAATGGCGGGGAAGCTGTCAGACAAAAATGCTGCATATGTATGTCCGGCTTTGAGACGTCACTTGCAACAGCTCTTGACAGACATGGAGCACAGGTTGGTATTTGAGTGGTGTTTGAGTGTCTAATATGTGGGACACACAGCGCGGATAGCAAAAGCAAGGAGGAAAGTGCTATTCTGTTGGGATCGCTGATAAGAGCATGCGAAACTCTAATAACTCCTTACGTTATTCCGATCCATAAGGTTAAAATCTTTTTAAGTACGAAGAAATTTCATTCCTTACATGCAGGCTTTGGTGGCGAGACTAAGTGAAGGAAGTGGAGGTAGTGGGAATATTGGTGTTGTATCCGGGGTAATGGCAACCGTGGGGGAGCTTGCTCGAGTGGTAAGCCACTTTTGTTTTATGAGAGGCATGAAACTCAGACTTTGCTCTTTTACAGGCTGGGTGCGCAATAAGACCGCATATCAAGGACCTGATGCCGTTAATTGTGGATGCTCTTCGTGACACTTCTGCTGCTAGTAAGCGGGATGTTGCTGTGAGAACACTGGGTCAACTGGTCCAGAACACTGGGTAGGCATTTACAAATGTAGTATACGACCATTACATGCGTTTCTTGTTGTTTTCCAGGTACGTCGTGACACCGTATACGGAGTTTCCACACTTGCTGGGTTTACTACTTCGAATATTGCTGAATGGGGAACTCGAATGGTCTACAAGGAATGAAGTTTTAAAGGTTGGAAGATTTGTTTATCACGGACTAGCTCAATCTCTAAATTGCTAGGTCCTTGGAGTCATTGGTGCGCTAGATCCGCACGTCAACAAACGCAACGAACTTCGGCTACATCCAAGCGACGGCAATCGCTCTTCTTTGTCGGAAACTGTACACGGGCAGACAAATGACGAGTCTCTTATGGAAGCGTGGCCTACTGGTGGAATATCGGCAGCTACAGAAGATTATTACTCGACAGTTAAGGTTTCGGCATCCATTGGCTTTTGTAACTAAGGTGTCGCTTGCAGGTTGCAATCAATGCTCTCATGCGGACTTTGCGAGATCCCTCATCATCGATATACCATCAAAGTGTTGTTAAATCTCTTATGTACATCTGCAAGGTACGGTATTATTGATATGGCGGTCGTAAAAAGTGGAAGGGATTGCAGGTCATGGGTCTTGGTTGCGTACCTTATCTACCGCAGGTAAGTGGAAAGTGCCTTCTGTGGATGTCCTTGTACAAATCCGCCATTCGCAGGTCATGCCGGACCTTTTGTTGACCATTAGAAACTGTGAAGATAATCTACGAGAATTTATCTTTTGTCAGCTTGCAGACCTTGTTGCAATTGTCCGTCAGGTATGATTGAGCTGTTCTTTTCCTTGTTGCAACACTTTTTTTTGTTGCAGCACATTCGGAAGTATCTTTCAAGCATTCTTTCTCTTGTTCTAGACATGATCCTTCCGACAAGCCCTCGTTCCGCTCCTCACTCACCAGTAAGACGCCCTCAAGCATTTCACTCACTCAGCAAAATTGTCTTTTTAGATTTTGCATCTTGTGGAAAGACTCTGTGTCGCTCTTCACGATGAGTTTCGGATACACATGCCAGAGATTCTACCTAAATGTATTCAAGCTTTGAATGAGGCTGAACGCAACGCTGACTATGCCTACGTTGCGTCTCTTTTGCACACTTTTGAAGTATTTGGCGGTAACCATTTTTTCCTTTTGGTTTTACTTGTGTCCTGAACGTCTTTGCAGCTTCTCTGGATGAGCACATGCACCTAGTACTACCTGCCTTAGTCCGCCTTTTTAAGCCGGATGTTTCAAATGCGCCGATGGATATAAGACGATCTACTATCAAAACCTTTTCACGTCTTCTTCCTTGCATGCAGGTAAAATTCATGACTCGAATACAAATTGTAATATTTTAATTCAGGTCACTGCACATGTGTCTTCTTTGCTACACCCATTGTTGAGCGTTCTAGATGGGTAAGGTTTTCCTTCTTATTTGTTAACTGTTGCATGTTGCATAACGGAAATTCTTCGTTTTTCATCCGCAGCACGAAGGATGAGTTGCGTAACGATGCTGTGGATGCTATATGTGTTTTGGCTACTGTCCTTGGAGCAGAATTCACCATGTTTCTTCCTTCAGTGCGCAAGCTACTTCAACGTCACCACTTGCAGGTTGAACAATAATTATAATCGGATTCTGGACTCACATCTTGTTACCTGCAGCATCCGCAGTTTGATTCCATTGAATCTCGTCTTAAACGGCGAGACCCGATCTTGGTGGATGTACGGCCTACAGCAGTTTCCGAAGCGGATATAGCTGCTTCATCTCATGGACCTGAATTGGATGGCGAAAATGCCTTAAGTACACGGGGCACGCAGGTTAACGAGGTACACTTAAGATCTGCATGGGAATCCTCTCAAAGAAGCACAAAGGAAGACTGGTCAGAGTGGATGCGACACTTCAGCTTAGAGCTGCTGAAAGAGTCTCCTTCTCCCGCTTTAAGAACCTGTGCTCCTTTAGCACAACGCCAGGCAAGTCCTTAAACTCATTCTTGACAGTAAACCAGTGTTTTTCCTTTGCAGCCTCACGTGGCACGGGAGTTGTTTGCAGTTGCCTTTGTAAGTTGCTGGTCCCAACTTAATGATTCGTACAAAAAACAGCTAGTACGAAGTTTGAATTACGCTTTGACGTCTCCCAACATTCCATCAGATATTCTTGGAACTCTCCTGAATCTGGTAAATGCCGCGCTGTTCATCACGTTTATCTGCTTACCTTCTTGTATAGGCGGAGTTTATGGAACGGGATGAGGACCCTCTGCCTGTGGATACGAGAACGCTTGGCAGCTTAGCTGAAAAGGTAATTGCGATTTTCTGTTCATTGTTTAACATCACCTTTTTAGTGTCATTTGTTTGCAAAAGCTTTACATTACAAAGAGATGGAGTTTGATATGGTCCTTGCTCGTGAACAAAAGCACCAGCTTGTTGGAGCCGTTGAAGCTTTGATTCATGTCAATAACCAACTCCACCAACATGAGGTAAGCTTTTTATGTACGACACTACCCTTATCCTTGTAAGCATAGGCGGCTGTTGGAATTTTGACATATGCACAACGTAACCTCGGAGTTCAACTAAAGGAATCTTGGCAAGTATTTGCTGTTGCAACACACATCTTACAGAAAATTATGGTCGTAGGTATGAGAAGCTTCAACGCTGGGAAGCCGCTCTCGATGCTTACACGGCAAAAGCCTCTCAAGCTACCAGCCCTCACGCGTCGTTGGAGCCCACTTTAGGTGATACTGTCCAATCATGTCTACTGTATACTAAAAGGCTGTTACAGGTCGAATGAGGTGCTTGGTGGCATTGGCACGATGGGAAGAGTTGAGTACACTTTGCAGGGAGACTTGGAGTGAACCTTCTGCACAGCTTCAGATGGCACCAATGGTACTACAAAATAAGCTGACTCATGATTACAATTTGTTTATGTTTGAATGTATTTTGTAGGCTGCGAGTGCTGCATGGAATATGGGTGAATGGGAGGAAATGGAAGAGTACGTGTCTCAGATGGATAATGGAGATGAAATGAACGTACCTACGCGAGGCCAGGACGGCACTGGAACCGGATTTGCAGGGGCATTTTTCCGGGCTGTTTTATGCATTCGGCGTTCTAAGGTAGACAATGCCATAAATAATTGTGCTCTATACCCTGATCCTCCTTTCAGTACGATGAAGCGGGCATATATGCCGAACGGGCACGAAAATGCTTAGCGACAGAGCTTGCGGCATTGGTAAGCGTTCATATCATCCTTACGGGGGCTGAAGTGTTTGCGTCGTCCAGGTTCTTGAGAGTTACGACCGTGCATACAGCAACATGGTGCGCGTTCAACAGTTAGCAGAACTGGAAGAGGTTATCGAATATTGCACACTGCAAACGGGGAACCCTGCCTCTGAGGCACGTGCTTCATTGATCAGGAGAATGTGGCGGGATCGTATTCAAGGAGCGAAAAGAAACGTTGAGGTATATTTATGTCGTTCAAGCGAGGTATATGTTGCCTGTTTTTTTTTGTAGGTCTGGCAAAGGTTGTTATCTGTTCGAACGCTTGTGCTTCCTCCTACCGAAGATGCCGAAACATGGCTGAAGTTCGCTTCTCTTTGCTATAAAAGTGGCCGAGTAAGTCAGTCACACGCAACATTGATAAAACTTCTTCAGGTGAATGGGTTTCATGCAACTCTTTATTAGTTTTGCTAACGTGTTATTTTTTGTTTTTTTTTTTGAGTGAAGTACGATCCAGAACAAAGTGATCCTCCGCCTGGCTACGTCGTTAATCCTCCAGTGATGCTGGCATATTTAAAATACCTTTGGTCTTTCGGCGAGGAATCGAAAAGGCAAACCGCCTATAGACGGCTTCAGGTTCGCTGTTGTTTCTTCATAAATGAAATTTTTATGCGGTGTTTTTCTTTTCTTTTTTATTTTAAGCAGTATCTTGCATTAGATTTGGCGAATGGCCAAGCATCCATGTACTGTACACCTCAGGGTGCTTCTGGCAGTTCTGGAGTGTCGCCGGTTCCTCTCATTGCACGTATTTATTTGAAACTAGGAACTTGGAACTGGTCTTTACATCCGAGCTTGCCCAGTCGGCCGCCTGCCCAGGCTGGTGTTTTGACGACAGGGTTGAACGACGAATCCATACGAGGTACTGGTTGTGGAAGCTAGATGTTTGATAGAATCTTTTCCCGTGTCAGAAATATCTTCTGCCTATAAATCTGCAATCGATTATGCGAGAGCGTGGGGGAAGGCTTGGCATAGGTGGGCATTGTTCAACACGGCGGCCTTGTCACATTACTCTTTGAAAGGAGATTCGGTAAAGGCTGCTCATCACGTGGTGTCAGCTGTTTCTGGATACTTCAAATCCATTGCAAATGCGTCCACGAACAAGGGCGGGGATGATAGTTTACAGGTTGGTGCTGATGTAGTGTATTGGGATGGCTAACATTTACCACTTTCAGGATATTCTACGGCTTTTGACGCTCTGGTTTAACCATGGTGCTTCCGATGAAGTTTATGCTGCGTTGCAAGACGGTTTTAAGCACGTGATAATCGACACATGGCTGGTGGTCCTGCCGCAGATTATTGCTCGGATACACTCGCACATTCCCGCTGTCCGAGAGCTTATCCAACAACTCCTTGTACGCATTGGACAGATTCATCCTCAGGTTGTTGTCTAACTGAAATGCTTAAGCGTTTTATGTTCTAACAATGCAGCGTGCAGGCTCTTATGTACCCGCTTTTAGTTGCATGTAAATCCATTAGCTCCTCAAGGAAAACTGCTGCTTTGACAGTTGTTGACAGAGTTCGCCAGCATCACGTAGCTCTTGTGGAGCAAGTAAGTTTGTGTGAGAAACGCGAAGATAACGTCTATAGCTTTTTTTCTCCAGGCACAATTAGTCTCTCAGGAGCTTATACGAGTGGCCATACTCTGGCATGAAATGTGGTACGAAGCACTTGAAGAAGCCAGCCGTCTGTACTTTGGGGAGCATAATAAGGAGGGCATGCTAAACGTGCTGGAACCCTTGCATCGTAAACTAGAGGAAGAAGGTGCCGTAACCCTCAAAGAGATCGCATTCGTACAGGCAAGCTTTTAATTTTAAATATCGAACCCGGGATGACATACTACCATTCGTGCGCAGGCTTATGGGCGAGAATTGCAAGAAGCTCATGAATGGTGCATGGAATATCGTCGTACTGGTAATGAAGCGGAACTCACACAGGTACTATCTCCATTTTTCTGGTGTTTTAATGAAGAGGTGTGCTGGCTTTAGGCTTGGGATCTCTATTATCACGTATTTAAACGTATAAACAAGCAGCTTCCAAGCGTAACTACTCTGGAACTTCAATATGTTTCTCCTGCTCTTCTCAATGCTCGCAATTTGGAACTTGCTGTCCCTGGAACATATCGTCCTGGTACGTGGTGATGCGTTTTATTGTGCTTTTATTAAGCAGACGCTCCTCTTAAAACAGGTCCGGAAGCGAACGTTGTGACAATACAGAGTTTTGATCCACAGCTCATAGTTATGCCATCGAAACAGCGACCTCGGAAGTGCACCATCAAGGGCAGCGATGGCCAGGATTATACATTCTTATTAAAGGGCCATGAAGACCTTAGACAAGACGAGCGCGTGATGCAGGTAACATCAGATTCACAGGACATCGATTTACTAACATGTGGGTTGCGTTTTAGTTATTTGGGCTTGTAAATACCCTTCTAACGAATGCCCGGCACACGGCGGAGAAGGACCTTTCCATTCAGCGATATGACGTGGTTCCGCTCTCTCCAAACAGCGGTCTTATTGGATGGGTCCCAAACTGCGACACTCTACATCACCTTATTCGTGAATATCGGGATGCTCGGAAGGTAGACTTTCATTTCAGCCTGTCATTGCCCGAACCAAAACTTGCAGGTTCCTGTCAATGCTGAACATCGTGCCATGGTGTCGTTCGCTCCTGATCTCGATCATCTTACTCTTATAGCCAAAGTCGAGGTATTCCAGCATGCTCTGGAGGCGACCGACGGTGATGACCTGGCAAAGGTTTGATTTTTCTTCGTCTGATTTGAGACATGCTAACTTGGTTGTGGCAGGTTTTCTGGCTTAAAAGCAAAACCTCAGAAGTTTGGCTAGAACGGCGAACGAACTACACTCGTAGCTTAGCCGTCATGAGCATGGTAACGTCGTCACGCACTGATAATGGATGTGCTTAACTTATACTCCCTTCTCTTCAGGTCGGATACCTTCTTGGTTTAGGCGATCGACATCCAAGCAATCTAATGCTTAATCGCTACAGCGGGAAAATTCTGCACATTGACTTTGGGGATTGCTTCGAGGCAGCGATGACGCGGGAGAAGTTTCCTGAAAAGGTGGTGATGCAACGATAGAGAAGCTCGCTCCTCAAACCGGTAGTTCTTTGTCTTGCAGGTTCCATTTCGATTGACAAGGATGCTAGTAAAGGCCATGGAAGTTAGTGGCATCGAAGGGAACTTCCGGTCGATTTGCGAGGACGTGATGCACGTCTTGAGATCAAACAAAGACAGCGTAATGGCCATGATGGAGGTATTAGCTTTTCATTCAGCATTGTTCCATGGCTAAAACCGCTGGCATCTGCAGGCATTTGTTCACGATCCTTTGATCAACTGGAGGCTGTTTAACATCAACGACGTACCAGCCAGCATGGCAAACATCCGTGCTCAAACAGCGACCCAAAACTTGGAGGCAGTAGGACTGCCTTCTCCACCTCAAAGGGGAGCTCGGGAACGCGAGATGCTTCACGCATTCAACGTAAGCTGTCTTACTGTGCTTATCATTCTCGTTAGATCAAGACCATTTAAAACACTTATCGCGCAGGTGGTTGGACAACTCGGGGATGCCAACGAAGTACTC